ATGTAACAATAATACACTAGTTATATCAGAAAAAAGGAAAGATGAGAGATGACAATTAATCTTTTTAATATGAAAAAGTGTATGGTGTCCAAAAATTCCTTGAGGGTAAAGCTCTCAAAGAATGCTCTCCGCAGGAGCATTGGCTTCTTCACATGAAGGAAATTTTTTTTAGCAATGTTATAACATTATTTATATATTATTAATATAAATATTTTTTTTAATTTGTATCACCATTAAAGGTCACATGATATAAAATTTTATTGCATTTTTGAGCATAACTTACAATTTCTGAGTTTTGATGATTTTTCCCAAAATTGGCCACGAGGCGCAGCAAGTTGCGGGACTAGGTGACTTGCACCATAAGATGTAAAAATACCCATTTTTTTGTAATGAAAATTTTCTTGCAGATCACGTTTTTTGATAGTAAAAATTTGCGATATAGTTATATAAACCTATATCTCCTTCACTAAAATTATTTAGCTAGTATGCAAAGTCTACTAATAGAACTTGTTAATCAGATCAAATCACATGATTTATGTCTAAGAACCATAGGTCTAGTATCAATAATTAAAATTTTCCATATAATGAACTTTTCAAAAAAAAATTTTTTAAAAAAAATACAAACGTTTCTTTATTTATAAAAAATCTTAAATATAATTCCAGTATGTACGATTTTTTTAAAATAATTTTTTCAGAATATATGTTAATTGAAAATGCAAAAATATTCGGGGTTTGTTAGTAGTATTTTAATTTAAAGAGGGATTGAATTTACTCGGAAGATCTACACAAATTTGGACCAAAAATCCCTGTACGTTTAAGGGATAATATTTCTTCATCTAGGTTATATTTAGCTCGAGCGTAAACTCAAGCTAGCTCGAAATTTAATATTATTTTTTATAAAATCACGATTTTAGAGACCATAAAAAATAATCGAATAATTATATATAGAAGTAAAACAATAATAAATTGTATAGTGCGCAAAGTTTATAGCCACCATTTCTGCGCCATACGGCTAACACATGATGGTTTTTTTTGACACAGCTTTGTGAGTCTAAATTTGGAAATAATCATTGTAGCCTATACTAAAATCGAAAAAAGATCATTATTGTTTTTAAACCTTCAAAATATCAATGGAAAATATTTTGAATTTTTATTAAGTGGACATAGTTTCTAAGTTAAAATTAATCCTTATGTTGAATTACATATAGAAATGTTGTTAACTCAAAATCATAATGTTTGTAATTATCCCCGTTTCTATTGCCATGCCTTGTTTATGTTAATGAAAAAATTTATTAAGTTGGTATAATTTCTAAGCCGAAATTGATCCTTGTGGTGTAAACTGCATGTAGAAATGGTATTAACTTAAAATCAAGATTAATTTTCCCCATTACTATTGAGCAAAACTGGCTGGAAAACATAATAAATTTTGAGTGACAAGCCTTATATTTCATTGCTGCACCAAGTAAACAGGGTCTAATGTTTTCTCCAATTATATATAGCTCATATATTATAGGTTAATATCATGTAAAAAACTATTTCCGGTTCAGTTTCGCGTTTGATTTTCAATGAATTTATTTAACCAATTGATAGGTTGTGATGAAGTGTCAATTATATCCCAATCAAATTAGATTGTGCAAGTTAAGAACATGATATTTTGCAGCTTGAAAACTGACCAAGATTGGATATTGATAAGAAGCGATATAAGTATTTTTAGGAACGGAATCAGGTAATTTCATTAAGGTATCAATAGCATACTTAACACCAAACACTAATTCAATCTGTTGAAGTTTTTGTTTATTGGTAACAGCGGTTTTACTTGTCTACATTTCTTTCCCTTATTTAAAAACTAAAAAAAATGAATTATGCACCAAACTTGGAGACTTATATGTATTTTTTCATGTGAATTAAATATGTAGTATGAATTTGTATATAAATTTAACAGCAATCTTTTGTTCTTTGTTTGATTCAAAGGAATTGAAAATGATGATATTTTTATCAAGTCGCCATTTGAGAGAAGTTTGTCTCCCTTGCAAATATAAAGTTGGATGGACAAGAAGATGCTGCTGAAAAATAATCCGATCAAAAGAAAAAGCGAAAAAATCTAGTTCTCCAACTTTGTTCTTATTGTATAAGCATTTCTCAGTTGTCATTATTTTACCATTGAGGAAGGGAGTTCATAGATAATGAAAGATCATCTAAATCATCAACTAATAAGTAAATTCATTTTATATATTCTAGCTATTGGTCGGCTGTTATCCAGAATTCAATTTCTTTTCTTTTTCTTAAAGAAACATTTAAATGGTGTCTTCAAAAGGAAAATCTGAAATTATATATATATTGCTTAATGAAGGGAACGAAGATTTGTTATGACTATATAGGGATGATAAAATCTCCAAGAAGAATCCGTTCTGCATCTATTTGTTTAATGACTGTTGCATTCAAGGCTTAATAACTAGATGTTTTAATATGCTAAGAATTTTATTAAGTTCAAATTATTCAGTAAAAAATTAAACGTAAGTTTTGCGATAGTTTCAAAATGATGATAGTTGCTTATATCTATATTTTCTATATATTCAATAGACCAGCATTCTGGGTATTCCTAAATTTAACAAAAGAAAGTATCATCAACTATAAAGAACGATGTAACTCGGTATTTTGACAAAATAATTACAAACCTGTTCTTGTAGTATAACAAGGCTATTTTGATGATAATTGTGAAAAAAATTGTTGAATGTTATAATAATATGGGTTTATTACATAAGTTTTACACAATGTTCATTGACAAGGTATTCTTCCAACTGTTACACGGCGAATCTAACATGGGTAAATTATTAGTTAATTGGTGTTTAATAATATTGTAACTATATTTTTTTATTCAATTAATTTTCATATTGTATATAAATTATATATAGTTAGATAAATTTTTTTTTTTTTTTTGAACCCAACAACTTCAATTAGAGATCGGCACCGCCTAAAAATTCTTTAACCGGTTAAAAAATTTTAATGGTTCACAGTTAATTAACCGGTTAAAAACGGTTAAACAGTTAATGGTGCCAATCTCTAGGAATTATTGGTAGTATGATAACATCAATTCCCATCAAATTAAAAGAAATGACAACATTTTCAATACCGTTATCTACAACCACAACTAACATTATTGCTGCTGGTGGTGGCTACATATCATTAACATTTAAATCTTCAAATAATAACAAATGTAAAATAAAACTCATAAGGCCAGACAGAATTCAATGAAACTTATAGACTAAAGATGACATGACATTAAATGGAATATTGGTCATCCTAACAATAAGATTAATGAGTGTTCTAATTATAAAATAAATGTTATTTTATCTAGCAATTAATTACAATGAAGAATGGAAATGGGATTATCAAATGAATATTTACAATAATCATGATATTAATAGTAAATACTGATAGTAATGATGAGACAACAACAAGCATCGCATCATTCAATCAATACCACTCAAATAATTTTATACGCAATTTTTGAATTAACCAACTCATATGAAACCATATTGGTCCATTCATCATTCTACCAATTCCATTACTATTACCTCATTAACAACAAGAATCAGAAGAACCCTCAGATTTATTAACTGAATTAGGAATTAAGAACAAAACTGTTTCCAGCAACGAAAACAGAAGCTGTCTATACGATACTTTGACAAATCATCGTTATTATGTAACATTTATATATTTTTGTCAATAAACATATAAAAGTTGATTCAATTTAAAAATTTACTTGGTTTAGTAAATAATTTACGTTTTCATTATTTATATTACATTACATTTACATCTTACATCTTGCATTTACTTAATTTAGTTAATATAATTAATTTGCCAAGGCGACCCTATTACAGTCGAACCCCGGTAAACGAAGTAGTCGGGACCATTAGATAATCTACTATGAACTTCGGTTTAATGGAGTTCGATTAATTGTTTATTTCTTAAATAAGAATTATCGCTGTTTTTATAACAAAGAAAAAAACGTCAAAAATAAGTTTGCATAAAGACTATGCTATTTTTAACAATAATTAAAAAAAAACCCATATAAAAATATAAAAAAAAACTCTATTATTTTCCTACATTCGTTTTTTTATTTTTTATTTTTTATTTTTTTTTATATTTTTAATCCTTAATCTTTTTATTTTTTAATCACTCTTTGCTTTTAGTTAATATTAATAATTAAATTATAAATTCTTTCGTTTTTTAAATTTTTTTAAATCTCTAATTATTAATATAACCGATTATTTTGAAAATGGTTAAACGTTGTTACAATTGTTACAACACTACAAATAATAACATCAACAATCCTTCATCTTACACTACTATTAATGTTGCCACTCCTTTATCTGCTACAAATACTCCTAATGTCATTCCTTCGCCTTTATTATCATTATCATCACCATCATCAACAACAATCTCACTCCCGTCACCACCACAAACACCAATATTACAATCACCCCCATTACCACTATCACCTTCGACAACAAATAGATTTCATCTAAAGACCGGTTCAAACCAAGAAAATTTTTTGCTAGATTCATTTCTTTATGTCAATGGCAGACGTTATCATAATGTTCCAACTGCATCTTATTGTCTACCAAATGACAAACAAGAAATTGAACGTTTAACTTTAGAACATATAATCTATCGCTTCATTTGGCATGGTAATTTTTCTTCTCCTGTTGATGATGTTCTAAAATCATCATTTGCAAAAAATGATAAAGCAAAAGTTTTGGATATCGGTTGTGGTTCTGGTAATTGGTTGTTAGAAATGGCCGAGGAATACCCTAATGCTAATTTTGTTGGCATTGATATTTCTCCCATTTTCCCCAATGAATATGATTCAAATAAACCCACAAATGTTGCTTTTTTAAAATTTGACGCTCTTAGTGAGAGTGGTCTACCTTTCCCAGATGATACCTTTGATTTTGTCTATCAAAAATTTATGGGACTTTTTATCAACGAAAAAAAGTGGATGAAACACATAGAAGGTATTTATTTTACTTTAATTAAAGAAATAAAGTATTCATTATTACTTAATACCTTTTTCTTTGAAAATGTAATGATTTAGAATTAATAAGAATTACTAAACCTGGTGGATGGATTGAAATAATGTAAGAAATTATTCTTGTTATCATTATAATATGCCTATTCTTTATTCTTATTCTTATTTTATCAATCAATCAATTTAATTTTATTCTTTTTTTCTAACAGGGATATTGATCCTTTCCCTTATGATGCAGGTCCAATTTTAAATTGTTTTCTGGAATCAAGTAAATATTTTGTCTTTTTTTTTTTTTAAGAAAATATTAAATTTTAATTTTAATAATATAATCATTTATTTTTATTAGTGTCAGAACTATTATTGTCAAAAGGAATAAATAGAAAAATTGTATTTGATATTCCATTGCTATTTAATCAGAAATCTGAATTAATCACTGTTCATTCTCAAGAACGTCCAAACCCTATTGGTTCTTGGGGTGGCAAAGTTGGTGAATATGTAAATATCAAATAATAACAATAATGATAATAGTAATAATATAATAATAACAATAGTTTTTTCATCCTAACATTTTAACTTAATTTCATTCTAGATGTTGAAAAACGTTAAATTAATTGTTGATTCATTAAAACCTTACATATTACCAGCATCGGGTTTATCTGAACAAGAATTCCACGAGATGATTAAAAGTATATATGATGAACTTAACACAAATAAAACCTTTTATAAATCTTATAGACATTTTGCTCAGAAACAATATTAAAAATCGCCACCAACGTTAAACATACTCCATCACCAGTATTCACTGTAAATTTATAATGATTCTCGCCTTTCCTTTCACCACTTTTTAATTTATTTTTTTTTCATTGGTATCCTACCTCAGTGTAATATTACAAATATTTATATTTTTTCTTCGATTTTTTATTAATATAAGTTTTAAATATACATTCATTCTTTTTGATTCATTATTTATTTGTTAATTTTTAAGACAATTAAGCTTCTATGGTTATTTATTCAGTTCTCATTTGTTATCATTACTATATTACTATTACTACTAAATGCATGTATACGTGAAATTTTAAAAAAATTTTATTGTGCTTATTACAATTTTTTTCCTTCTTTTATTTTTTTAATTTCTCGTTTATATTTTTTTATTAAATCGATCGTAAATAAATAAATAATAAATAAATTCGCTTGATATACTCATAGGAGTTATCCAACAAATAAAACCGTTATGCGAGTAATCTGAATAATGCATGTAATTGTTTTAGCAGTTTCCTTTAAAGAATGGCAATGATAGGATATACAATGTTGTTGTTGTTGTTGTTTGTTCTAAAGGTTTTTAAAGAATCAATGCAATGATCAAATAGCTCGTTCGCTTGATTTAAGGGTCGGTTTGTTTAATATACCACGTGTATATATTTATTTATATATTTATAAAATACAGTGAACCCTCCATAAGTGTACCCTCTATAAATGCATCCCTCCATAAATGCACACTATGTCTCATTTCCAACCTTCGGGAATTAGAGATAAATGCATACCCTCCATACTCTGCACTGCACGGTCTTCCCCCATCCCCGTTCATATAAAATCACCCTCTCTAAATGAACGCCCGTGACTTTCACGTGATTATTTGCTAAATAAATTCATGTTGCATTAATTTAATTTCAAACATTATTTATATCTGAAAATAAAGGATTAAGTAGCTACTGTTGCTTATAAAGGATTAAATGAACGGTTGCTAACTCTTTCTTTTTAATTGACAAAGAGTATTGGAATAATAATGATAAAAATACAAATGGAGAAAATTATATATATGGAAATTAAAAAAATTAAGGATTAAACAAAGGATAAAAGATCACGAATTTTTTTTTAAAAAAAAAAATCAATGAAGCAAACCACAATGAAACAATTTTTTAGTCAACAATAAATAATTAATATGTATAAGGTATTGGGCACGCAACGATGTCACTGAAATTGTCCATCGTACGCCCAATATCGATGTTATCGGGCAATCACTATTAAGCTATTCTTTCAAACGTCACTGTTTATTAAGTTTAATTATATGATTTAATTATATCTTATTAGAAATGTTGTATAAATAGTATATCAATCATATTGACGTCATTTTGTACCTAAAAATAACAAAGCAATCAAAAATAGCTTAAATAGTGCTGTTTGCCCGATAAGTAATAATAGTAATTAAAATCGTACAATAAATTTTTATTAGTATCACGTGCAACCAATAAAATTCTTACCCTCTATAAATGCATCCCTCCATAAATGCACATTCCCAAGGGGGTGCACTTATGGAGGGTTCACTGTAATGTCTTTTGATATACAAAAGATACATCGACTTATTAACAGAACTTTAGATATTCAATATGAATATTTGATTATTTCATCTTTTGCATTATTTTATTAATAATTTTTGAAGAAAATATTAAAACTATTGATTTAAATATATAGAATACTTCAACGACTCAATTCTTTTATATTGATAGAAGCTGTTATTTTATGTGATAAATTGGCTTCAAAACTTCAATGCATTTTTTAATCGAGTAAAATTTTTCAAGACAAAAGTCACGTACATAAATAATAATGTATTCATTTCGTAGTTTAGGTTTTCTTCGACATGGTGAAACCATTTCCAAAATAACAAAAAATTGTTGGTTTTCATTGATTAACAATGTCTTGTACTATTAAAAGATATATCGAGGGAGGAAGGTCTTGTCACAAAACAACAAAGTGAGGCCCAAAACTAATAAATTAAAATTATGCAAATATCAATGTCTTGATTAGATGTTGGCACCGTTAGCCGTTTAACTGTGGTTAAAACGATTAACCCAATTAAACAGTTAATCTATATATTATGTGTAACGATGAAATAAACATGGCCGCTAAAGTTACTTTTTCTTTTTGGTGGACTTATGACTAGATGCAATTCAATACCCAAACTTATAACGAATAAAGCAAACAATTCTTATTCGAATAGAAACCCTGCCATGACTATTTGTTATATATATAATAGAAAAAAATTACCATTGTTATTATCACAATTAACAAAACTATTATTAATAATTGACTAAAGAAAAACTGTCAATTATTATCATTACAAGGACCTTATTGCTACAAGAACTGTTTCCGGCAGAATGAAAAGGTGGTTTGTATAGTTTCTGCAAAACGTAAACTTGTGTCAGTGTATATGTCTGATACAAAACATAGGACAGTATGACTATCAACACCTTTATTTAATCATACACACACACATATGTAAAATTTTGATTAATAACAAATATTAATGTTAACATATAACTTTTTAAATTTAAAAGGTCACTTCTACAATATAACTTACTAGTATGTTCAAAATCAACACCAGCCGAACCATTTTCACATACCGCTTAATCATACCAACGATTGGCACAAGTACCAACCAACTTGTACACCATCTTTAATATCATAGGTTCTACATCATCAGATGAGGGAATTCTTCTAAACAAGCCATAAACAAAGCTGTATTAAGTTATTTGTTGTCTCTTCCAAAACATTCCTCAAGTTTGCCCACCTATGACGATTCTTAGCAGATAGAATTCCAGCAGCATGATTTGCAATCTCCACAACAGGTACTTTAAGAGCATTGTTCTAAGATTTGCAATTAAATTCATTATTTTAATTTAAAACATCAATCCAATAGAATTGACTATGACATAATACAATGATATGATGAAAAACAGCATCAGTATGCATTTTACACCCAGTTTCAGTTGGCAAACGAGCTGTACCAAATAACCGTTAAAACTTCTGAATAGATTAGGCTCAAGAGTTTCTGTTCTCAAAGCATAATAAATTTTAGTGAGGAAAGGCCAATGAATCAGCTCTTATAATTTTGTTATTTATATCAGGAGTTGGATCATCTTCCAAGACAAAGTATAGATTTAGATTTAAAAAACTACAGGATTAGTATTATTAAGATAAGAATTAATGTTGGTTTCCAAACCTATGGAGTTTCGTAACTGTGCGAAAGTCAAAAGGTTTCGCCATAAGTCGAAACTAATTTTGACTTTTGACTTTTGATTTAGTTTTGATATATATAACTTTTAATTTTAGATTTGACTTCCGCCTCTTCAAACAGTTTTGGAAACCAACACCAACAAGAATCATGCCGAAATTCTTCTATATAACTTGATTTATCTTATGCATATTTTTTTGAAGTATAGGATCTTCATTTTGGAGAAATTATTGAACTATTTTAATGGATCGTTGATAATTTCTTTCCCTCTATTACCATTATATACAACATAATTGTTTTTATTTTTCCAGACAAAATTAAAAAGATCATAAGCATTTAGAGTGTTTTATGGTTTATTGTGATCTTAATATAATGAACGTACTTTGACAGGAGGATATCGTTGGGGTGTATCTTCCAAGGGAAGTATAGGTAACTTTGATATTGGAAGGTTTTTTAGTATTAGTTTGTTCTTTAACGGAACTTGAAAGTTCTACTATTTTAAATATAATAATAATGAGGGAACTTCAAGAGCCACTGATTATTTTGTCGCGTGAGTTGTCTAAATGGGTAATGATTTTCAGATCTACATACAATTTGCAATTGGTACTTTCAACTCATAATAAATCACCAACTGAACAGCATATTGGAAGTTTGTTGTTACACAAAATGTTATACAGAACCCATTGCTCCTGAACCTTCACTGGTATATAATTGTTACCTATCTAAATTGGAGATCAAGTTCAGATACAATTCAAATCCAGTTTATCACTTACTTTTTATTGCCAGAATGTTTGCCGTGTATTGTAAAGCTATGTTGCACAATATAAAAAAATTAGTGTAACATTTTAAATTTCCACTATGCTCAACTGAACTCCAAATGATTATACCAAGTCGCGTTATTATTCCAGTATATACAACATCTTTATATAAACTTTTTTTTATCCAATTCTTATAAAAAAGATGTGGTTGTATTTTACTATTTTTATTATTTTCTTGTTAGCATTTATTATTAGAATTATCCAGGTATTGCCGACCAAACGACGTAATAACATCTTCAAGTCTAATAATAAGCATAGAATTAAAACATGTATAGTTTTAGGCTCAGGTATAAATATACTTAAAATGCATACTTCATTTATATACAAAAAGAGAGCGAGCAATTAAAAAAATTTTACAAATTAAAAGGCGGTCATACTATGGAAATGTTACAGTTATTAGATGAAATTGATTTTAATATTTATTGTCCGAGATTTTATATAATATCTAGCGGCGATATACTGAGTTCAAATAAAGTAAAGGAGTTTGAAGATAATCATAGTAAAGGAAAGGAAGAAGCAGCTATAGAAAATGTCGAAGTATTATTAATTAACCATAACCATGTTAATTATTAACCGAACTTTGGAAAAAATTTTAATTATTTAATTATTTTATATAGTTTTTTATAAGATACATACCGAGAAGTCGCAAAGTTGGACAATCATGGTTTTCAACAGTATTCACTGTTTTAAATACATTAATGGTGTGTTGCAAACTTATTTTATCGGAATTACCAGATCTGGTAGGATTTTACAATAATTAGTCATTTTTTTTTTAACAAGGAGAAAATTAAATTTAGAATTATACATTAAAATCTATAAAAAAGATAATTTGTAATGGTCCCGGAAATTGTGTACCTGTATGCATGATTTCATATATACCAAGGGTATGTAAACAAAATTAAGAATCATTCAAAACTTTTTGGTTTTTATAATTGATTCATTCTAATTAATTCAATTGATCTCTTTAATAAAAAAAAAGGTACTTGGGATCAAATGGATTCGTCTAATATATATTGAATCTTTTGCTCGTGTCCATACACTTTCTTTGAGTGGAAAATTGTTACTGAGATTTGTTGATAAATTTCTTGTTCAATGGCCATATTTAGTAAATAAATATCCTCAAGCTGAATATAAAGGAATATTGGTTTGATATGAAAATATCATTTATATATAAAAGATAAATTAATTTTCAATTTACAATAATGTAATACATTTATATATGATGAAAAGTTCCATACTGAAAAAAATAATATAAATTTAATAAAAAGTTGATCTTTATAATTAATCTCTCTCTGTGCCTAATACTTTAACCAGTAGGATTAAATATTCCAATATATGCTCGTGTTTTTCTTGATTCTTTAACGTTATTAGTAATAATGTTATCAATATCCATTGATTTCAATTCTGCTTCTAGATCACGACGATTCTTTATTATCTTACATTTTTCTCATTTGTTGGTCGTCTTTAAAAAATACACATATAACATACGTTGGTATTTAGATAGGCTTATTTTTTAAAAAATGATTTTAAATAGTTTACCTTCCATCCCAATTCCACGAGAATTTCTTTTAATTCACGAATTTGACTTTTTGTATCTTCACATCCTGCCAATTCTCTGGACTTGAAAGATTAACAAAATCATAATATTATATATTGAAACTTTTGGTTGGTTAAAAAGAATATTAAATAACTTTACCAAATTTACGAACTCCACATTTTACAATAAAAGACTTCAAACTCTTAATTGTTATTTCTTCTTTATTGTTGTTTTGCTAAGAAAAAAAAAACAAATGTAAAATTATATACTATATATTATATTAATTATTATATTATCTTTATTATTACTCACGGATTTATCATCATTTTTTGAGATCTTTTTTCCATTGATGGTTTAGGATCGTCTTTGAGTCCACTGAGTTCACCACTATCAATAATATCATTCTTTTTCTTTGGAATAGATGATTTGGTTTCTCTAGATCTTTTCTTTGTCAGTGGCTTAGGATCACTAAGTTCATCACTACCAGTATTATTATTTTTTGTAAGAGTTTATTTGGTTTGTCCATATCTTTTCTTTGTTGGTGGTTTAGGATCTTCTTCAAGTTCACTAATTCCATCATTATCATCTTCCTTTTTATTTGTAGTTTGTCCAGACCCTTTCTTTATTAATGATTTAGAATCGTCTTCAAGTTCATCAGCACCAATGATATCTTCATCATTCTTTCTCTTTGTATGAGATGATTTGGATTGTCTAGAGCTTTTTCTTCGTTGATGGTTTAGGATCGTCTTTAAGTTCATCACTATCATCTTTCTTTTTATTTGAAGTAGATCTTTTCTTCGTTGATGGCTTAGGATCGTCTTCAAGTTAACCACTATCATCTTTCTTTTTATTTGGAGTAGATGATTTGGATTGTGTAGATCTTTTCTTTTTTACTGGTTTAGGATCGTCTTCAAGTGCACTAAGTTCATCGTTATCATCTTCCATTTTGTTTGGAACAAGTGATTGGGTTGATAGTTTAGGCTCATGTTCAAGTTTACTGGCCTCATCATCATAAATTTCTTCATCTCGGATATTTTTGATTCATTAATCTCTGCTTCATTGCCATTATAAGATATTTTATCAGAAATTCTGTAAATCCATTTTATTTTTTAAGAATTGGTTTATACAATCAAATGCTGCCTTCGTTTGAAAAAAAAAATAATAATAATTTAATACCTTCACTGGCCCCTCCTGCTCTGAATCAGAATACATAGATATTATTATCACCTTTTCTTTTTCCTCTTTTTCTACTATTGCTTCCTTCTCATTCTAGGAAAATAAAATAAAATTGTGTCGATCACTTGTATAATTAGTCATATGACTTAATACGCGACATTGTTACGCCATAGTGCCAAGTTTATAAAAAAGAGTTTTGCTACACAAACTACAAAAATGGAAATTTAATTGTTAAATTCAAAAATTTTTTTTTAAAAAAAACTTTAAAAACTATTATTGTTATTATATATAATAAAAATGAGTAATGTTTAATTGTGCTGTTTACTTGTTGTTTTGAAAATTTTATATATGACAGTTATTAACATGCACGGGTATTTTTTTTAAAAAAAAATTAGCACCAAATGGTTCTGATAATTTTGAAGACAGGCATAGAGATGATGGAGAAGAGATGCACATGGACGATCGTGAAAATAGACGAAGTATGAGAAGTTCCCGTTCTAGAAGCCCTCATCGATCTAGGTCACCTAGAGAAAGAAGGTTTACATTATTTATTTTTAATTTATTTATTTACATTATTTGTTATAAAAGTTAAAAATCAATGTTTTTGTTGATAGTAGGGATGAAGAAACTAATTCTGGTAATAGTTTATTTGTTACTGGTTTATCTGTAAGAACTAGTGATCGTGACTTGGATGAATTTTTCTCAAAATATGGAAAGGTATATATATATACACTTGGCGATTAATGATTATATGGCGAATGAATTTATATTAAAATATTTTTAAAACATATTTATTTAATTCATAAGGTAATAAAAACTCAAATTATGTATGATCCTCATACTAGAGAATCACGTGGATTCGGTTTTGTTGCAATGGAGACATCTGAAGAAGCTGATTCAGCAAAAGAAGCCGTTAATGGTAGAGAATTTCAAGGTAGAGTTATAACAGTAGAAAAGGTAAGAAAATCGATCAATGAAATCTAATAAAAATAATATTAAATAATATAAAGATCTTATTTTATTTATTTATCTTTTTTAATTAGGCTCGTCGATCTAGACCTAGAACTCCAACACCTGGTCGTTATTATGGACCACCTAAACGTCGAGGTATAGTATAGTTTATAAAAATTAAGTTTTTATATCATCATAAAATTTAAAATAATTGTTATTGCCATTTTTCATTCAAAGAACCACGCCGGGTTGATAGATTTGATCCAAGATATGATTATACTAGATCTTATGATAGATATGATAGGCCACCAAGGAATTATGGGCGTGAACCCTATTATGATCGTGGATATGATAGGTCTTACTATGATAGAGGTTATGAAAGAGGAGGAGGATACGAAAGAAATTATGATAGAGCCTATGAAAGAGGATATGATCGAGATCGACGACCACAACCCCCTGCAAGATATGACCCTTATCAAAGACCTCGTTCACCATACTAGCAGGATTATTCCATTTTTCCCATTGAATATTATGAAAAATTGGAAATTTTTTTATTTTTTTTTAATATAATCACAGTATATTTTTATCTATCCGATAATTATTTTATTAGTTAATTTGGAATATAATTTTTTTAAAATATTATTTTTTAAAGTTGTTGTAGGCAACAAATTATTATGAACTTTACACCTATTCAGCATTTTTCACCTTTTGCTTCAAAAAAAAAAAAAAAGAACCAACAAAATGGTCAGCAAAAAAAATAATTTTTTTTTTACAACTGCTACTTGTACATCAAAACTGCAGCTTTATCCAACCCACAACAATAAAAAAGCATCATTGACAACATTTTCTTCTATTTTTCAGTATCAAAGATTCGATTTTTTAATTTCAACAGAACTATTATCCACAGTTCAGCAATATATATATTAATTATTCAATATATTATTATTTTTATCATTTGCCAGTTATACAATATCTCCAACAAATTTAAATTTCGTATTACACCTGTGTACCTATACATATTGTGATATATATATATATTGTTTTACAGCTGTATCTTTGAAGTTACTATACTATTAATATTGGCTTAATTATTGTGTAAATAATATTTATCTTGGAAATTAAGTTGTTAAAACTAAAGAAAGGTAAACTAGTATCATCTACTATTTGTTATTTTGTTGAATTATTGTTTTAATATTATTATTATTTTTTTTTACTAATTATTTTGTTCAAAGTTAAACATAAAGCAATTGGGTTTTTTTATGGAGTTATATATAAAGAATTTTAAAGATAAATAAAAAATTTTATTATATAAAGATACTGTATACTATTTGTTTAAAAGGTTAAAACAATAGTGTTTTTATAAGTTACATGTTGTTTTTATGTAACATTATTACGAATTACACCTAATCTTAATATATGTGTACCAATGAATAATATCAATAACGGCTTCGTTAACATAGGATTATTTTCTCTACAATTCATTTTGTTAATTGTCACGTTATCATGGCTTCAAAATTGGCGTTTATATTACTTCAAATATCATTGCTAACTAAACCAGAACCCAAGGCGTCCTTCACAATTATATTTAATATTTGCAAATGGAAAGATATAAAAATCATTTTGAGATAAAACTATCTCATGTTTCCCAAAAAATATATTTAATGAATGTGAACATTTAATTGAACATTGAATATTAAATATTAGTTTTGGTAATTATAATCATGGGTTTTCCAGCAAAATATGGTTATAGATCTCTGGCCAAAATTGTGTTTTTTGCATAATACAAAAATCTATATCATAAGGTGAAAATTTCAGACCCCATTTACATAATAAAAATGAGTTCTATTAAAAAACATTTTTGTAGATAGTAATAGGGATTATCACTTATTGTTTTCGTGAAGCAGCAAAATCCTTTTTTGTATCAACACAATTTGATATGTTGGAGCACTTAATTTAGTGATGAACTTAAATTTTTGTTTCTGTTTTTTATCAGAGATCAACGCAAGAACTTAATTTATAAATTTTAAAAAATGGTAATTGGAAATCTATTATTGTAAAACCATGATCAATATTTGTAAATTATATAAAATAAATTAAATAAGCATTTAAAAATGCTTTTTGTAAATAGTTATTAATAAAAAGATGATATATTAAAATCACAAGAAAATGGTTTCTCCATTCTTTTAAATTAATATTATTTTTATTCTGCTAATGATGATGAGATTAATTAAAAATAAAGTTATTCTCTTTTCTTTTTCTTGCTTGTATTAATATCACTGACCGCCAATCCTATTTGATTTTATATAGGGTATATCGAAAGAAATAATAATAATTAAAATAATTAATAAAACTTCAATAATTTATTTCTAAATAGAAAATATGCGAATAAAATTTTTACCAGGCGGAAGAGATTTTTGTAATTTTTCTGCTTTCTCTGCATCTTCAATTACAAAAGTGTACAAATATCTTGAACATCTAAGCTTAAATTTCACCTTTGATACACCATTTTTCTTAATACGAACAGCTTTGATATATATGTGTGTGTATATATAGCATGTGTTAATTAATAGAAATAAAAAAAAAAAACTATCGATAAATATATAATTACATTTTGCATCTTTTCTACGTGCAATCTCAAGAAAATATTTAATATCAGCAATTTGTTTTGGCTAGAAAAAACAAATTGGAATTATTATTTCGTTAATAATTAATATAATATTAAATTACTAACCATCTTTGAGACTTATTATTATCAAGCATAATGGACATTTGATTTCATTGGCTAAATTTTGTGAAGAAATAAATATCGGAGGGAAGGAAATTTAGTTTTGAATTGATAAAAATAAAATGTTACAATAAATAAAAAAATTAATATAGTATTTCTTTATTGAATGTTTTTAATACATAGGTTTGGTTTTTCATTATACAGTCTAATATATTAATATATTATTTACTTTTCAACTTTTCATTGACAACATCTTACCTTTGATCATGAATTATCATCCATTATATAATACTGTATATATATCTGACATTTCCTATAGATAAATAAATTGGTGGCATGAATATGAATACATGAATTTTGAAAATAAAAATAAATGTAAATGTAAATATAAACATAAATGTAAATATGTAAATATAAATATATAAATATAAAAGAAATATATTGTTGTTTAAAAATCCTTCTTGTTTATTAAATGCATCATAAAAAAGTCAAGATACAACATATTATATGATCTTTGTACTATCAATTATAGATGAGATTTTTTAAATAAACGAAAAAATTTCTCGTGATAGTTGTGGTTCGGATAACAGAAATTTAAAATATTTTTTATTTAAATTGAAACAGGTTATCCTATAAATAAGTGCGCATATAGATGAGTAAAACATTAATATTAATATTAGTAGATGTATTACTGATGTTACTACTCACATTTTTTCATTGACCTTTCTAATAAATGATTTCATGTTATACTCAAAATCATAGCTCAACATATTTTCAATTTGATATAATTCTTTCAATACAACAACACCATCCTCAAGATTATTAATATTTGATGAACGGTTTATAATTTTTCCAATATCACCATGTTCAATCTAAAGTTGGGAGCCGCAATTAGCTGCAATTCAATTTTCATATGCCGCAATGCCGCAATTAGTTGCAACTAATTGAGGAGCCATCTTTAATGATATCCAAATCTAATTTGAATTTTTTGTTAAAGATTTTAAATGCCCAAATTTATACTGTCTCTCTTCCAAGTTCACAATTCCAATTTTTATTAAATCGCTTTAAACAGTACCATATTATCAAAAACTCTTGAATGCAAACATTTTCATAAATCAAAATTAAAAGCACACATACTCCTTTCTCGCAGCTTCAAATGTTGGTTTAGTAACATTTTATTTTCATCCTTAATTCGTGCTCCGTGAGACAACTGCAAAATTTTGCCGATCGTTAGTATAATTTTGTGGCGATAATATAATAATAATTTTTAGAATTTTTGGAATATGACCGTCCCTCACGTGATTAAGCATGATTACGCGCGACATAAAAATTTAAAATTTAAACTTTTCAAAGTAACCAAACATCTATTTATATTTCTTTTTTTTTGAATAAAACTAATTACAAATGCTTATTTATATTTTTTTTCTTGAATAAATAATTAAATATTATACTTGAATCTTAAGTTTTATATAGCAATTTTAGGCAAGAATCCAGCGGTCCCTCCATATAAAGATAAAATATTTTATAAGAAAGTCCATTTGAAAATTTGTATATTAAAACTTTGGGTTTCTTACTATTTATTACATTTGCAAATACAATTTATAAATTCGTATAAATAGTAGTTTTTTAGGAATGAAGTATGGGTTCCGGAAAATTTCAATTAGTGATCTGCGAAAATTTGCGCCAAATTCTATTATGAAATTATTGCAGTTGTTTCACGTATCACGAATTAAAGGTTTAATAATAATAATTAAGATAGATGTGTAGTCATTACAAACACATCATAATTTTCAAGATATTTCTTCCATTCTTTCTCACTCAAAAGGTCTATACTATTTCTCCATACAATAACAATTTGAGGTAACATTAATAACTATAATTAAAATTTAAATTCCTGTTTGAAACTGCCTTTTTTTCCACAAATATATGTAACCTGGTTGAGTCAAGTGATCAATCTATTTCTATCACATGTATAAAATCAATTAACCTCCTAAGAGAAGAAAAAAAACAGTAAACAGTTTATTCAGAGTTACAAAACAAAGTCAAAGAAAGAAGCCTGAAATAACTAAAAAGAAATCAACATTTTAGAAAAGAAAAAGCCCAAATATCAGCCAGCTGAAGAAAAACAAATTGAATTAACCCAGATAAAAGCAGAACAACTAAGTCAAGGCCAAATTGAAAATAAAATTTTAAGCTTGGCATATGGAGGATATTGATTAATTAAAAGAACTGTTGGTGTTAGTATAATCATGATGATGAACTCCTGGTGGCAAAGGAACATGGAAAATAAAGAGATAGTAATTGAGTATTTGGAGCAGAAACTTGGCAGAACTTTTCACAAAAAACACCACTTAAAAAAGAGATGATTTTACTAATCTATATTGGGAGAGAATGTGATGAACACAAATCTCGATTTTCTCACTTTTGGTGGTTGCCAAAAAATTTTTGGTAGTACAAATGTTTACATTTTTGCGCCACACGGCCAAATTTTAAAATTTATTTTTTTTTTTGAAAATGAGAGAAGAAACCAAGGTTTTATTTTGCATACATTTTATGAATGTTCGGAAAGAAAGAAGATGTAATAAATCCATTAAATTTTCTTTTTTTTTTTAATAGGAGAAAATTGTCAAAATACTTGATATTACAAAAACTATTTTTCATTGGAGCTTTATTCCATTCATACTTTATCTTGGTAAATTAATCATTATTCTATATTAATATTATAATTAGTTTAATAATTAATCTAATAATTTAATAAAAATTAGGATTTACAAGAAGTAATCCAAGACCTTCTTTAATCAGGTAAATTGAATTTTTTTTTTTCATTAAAATAAATCAAAATAAAATTTTTTATTTAATAAAATGGAAATTTTATTATTTTTTTTTAGAATGATTAGTCCTTTGGCATAATATTATTACAAAATAATAAATAATACCTTACAATTGCCATCATGTAACTAAACAATAACAACAATGATCTAAAAGATTCAATTTTCAATTGTATGAAAAACAAATATTAATAAATAAATAAATGAAATAGCAAAACCACTTACTTTCATATTAAATAGATATTAAAATATCAAAATCATTTACAAGTTTTTTTTTTAACAATGGTGATGGTAACATCTTTGTTTCTTTGTTTGTTGGTTATTTAGATATTAAACGCAAATAATGTATTTTTTACATGATTTAATCATAAATAAAAGAAATAAATTAGCTATAAATACAGGATAGAAAATTATAACCATTCACTTAATCTGTAATGAACAAATATAGGTGATAACCGCATCATTTTTATTATTAAACATTAGTGTTAATATTGTATTTGGAATTATAGTATTATTTTAATTAATATTATTGTGAAGGTGAGTGTTTAATTGATTCATGTTCTTCTTTCCTATGGTCTACTTCTTGTTGTAGAGCCACTCCAATCAGCAGATCTATACTAATAATTTTCATCACCATTCCACTAACCCAAACTTATATGCCCCTACTAATCTTCATATTTTGCAAGAAAGCCTCTTCACCAAAATAACAATATGAAATAAGTAGGAGACTACTGAGAGAACGGGAATTTAGAAAGCTGTGTATAAAAGCCAAACTGATAAATTATTGTTTATCATGTGTTTCAACAATTGCAGATTCAAGCTATCTAAAAAGAAGAGCAGATTAGAAAAGATAAAGGTAAAAAATGGAAGGTTTGCCAATAATTATTTTATTAAGCTCATAAGCTACATTCATATCTCAATTGTGGCATGCTGTAACAAAATCAGACAAAGCAAACATTCATACTATTAAGAATTTCAGGTATTAAAAATCATCATTCTCATGATATAACAATTTTACTATATACAGTGTGTTGTGAAAAAAATGGCGGTGATGAAAAATAGCATATCTTGACAAATTACAAAAGATAAATAATAAAAATTTGATATGAGTTACTATTGCCAATTTTTTGTAAATCTTTTTTTTTAGATTTCACTAAATTTTTTGACTTCTACCAAAAATTATTAGACACCCCAAAAGTATAATTAATCAGACCAATTTGCAACTTAAGCTCTATTCATATAAAATCTCATGCTTCTAGAACTTTATCAATTAAAAATGGGGCATGCTGCAACAGAACCAGTCAAAGTGAACATTGCATTACCAAGGATTTCAGGGATCAAAATTTAGTCATCTCAATTATAATATAAATTTTATATTTCATAAATAAAGTTAATATGTAAATATATAATTTTTTATTCAATTATTGTGTATGAGATAAACTTAGTTATTTGTTACATATGGTAATTTTCTTATGGACAATGGATTATACATTTTGCGCATTTCATTTCCCTATATATAAAATCAACGATTAATATTTTATCTTAATAATTGTATTTTATACTATTTATACCTCATGTTCTTCAGGTAATGATGGTGATGATTCCTATAAATATAAGTAAAAAAATTAAATGTCTACCATTATTAGTATTAATGTTTCAATTATACTTGCATTATTTTTGTGACATTTTTTTGGTAATGGATCAATATCATAGTTTATGGACTTTTTTTTTTCGGAGATTATATTTATGATATGTTGTTGGAAGGAGTTGTCAGTTGTTACAGCGGTTGTTACAGTGGTAATGATGGGAGTGGAAGATGAGGTATTTATCTGTATGTAATAGTTTTAAATAATCTAAAAATAGTTACCTGATTGGTATTAAAAATATAAATTTGATACAGTCAATTTGCCAAATAGATATCAACAATTTAATAGCAAATAACAGAGTTTTATTTTATCTATTTTTTTTCATCCATTATACATAATTAAATTAAGTTCCACTAAAAAAAGAATAATTCTAATTAGTTTTTTATTGTCAAAGAAATTAACCAAGTTGCTACTAAAAAAAACAGAATAATTTCTTTAATTAGAAAAAAAATCAACCAAGTTTCCACTAAAAAAGTTGGATATAAGTGAGGTAAAGTTTATATCAAAAACAATACAGGGAAATCAGTCACAGCTCCATCAGTGGGATTTAATCAAGGATGGGATGTAAATAATGGGGGATATAAATATTATTAATCCATCCCATGAATTTTTCCTAACAGATAGGCAAAACTCCTCATCACCAGTGTCTAAAATTTGTGCAGAATGCTTGTTCTGAGCATAATAATTTATTTGCACATGGTATAATTTTAAAGTAGGTAATGATTTTAATCCTTCCAAAATTATAAATCCTATATTTTTGGCTGAATTATTCGCAGGTTCTGCTAAGCATAATAATCGCATCGTCCCGTGATTTGTTTTCTGATTTTCTAAATTTGTATACGCCCAATTCATATCCTTTTTTTGGAGGATGTCAACCATCCCTCATTACATAGATAGTATCATGTGATGCGAGCAGTAGATTTACATGCGCAAAAAATCTTTTGGTGTATCCTATACCCCTGACGTGATTTATGTAGCATTTCCGATACTGTGATAAAACTAGTGTTTGTTTCCTTTTTTGGATTGCGGGAACATTAATGGATAACAAACCTTGAATCTATCCATTCATTCCTTTCCGCTGAACGACAAGGAATACACAGAAAGTCACGGCAAAAATTTTTAAATCAGCAGTAACACATGGTATATTTAATTGCCTTTTGTTTATGGCTGTGATAGCATTAAAAACACAACGAAAAAATGTTTGGTTGAGAGCAGGATAGGAATGGACTGGTTTGTGTTTATAAGATAAAGGGTTACTAGATTTGCAAGTAGAGCACTCGTAAGTTGTTTTTGTGAATATGTAAAACATTTTCATTAATAGGCTTAAGTAGGCCTACTTTACTGTAGATGGTGTATATTTAATATCAGGTGATCTATTTTGAAGTTTTAATAAATTTTTTTTTTATTTTTTTTGAATATGATGGGTTTTCAGTGCCAGGGTTAGGACATAATAACGTTATAATCTTCATCTATATTGCAACTTCCTTGTTCACTTTTTTGAAAAAGGATGGTCGTTTTGTCAATCATGTATTCAAAGCTCCCTTTCCACCAAATTAAATCAACTTATGTCCATGCTAATGAATTATCAAATATTTCAGCGTGTGCTTTAAATTGACGTTAAATCTTTACCAAGTAATAGTGTAATAAAATTTGATAATGACATCATACCATTTTTAGATACTTTATGGTTGGAAATCCCAACATTATATAATTATAATAGTTCTTTCAAAATTTATTGTAAAAGCAAAAATAATTATTTATAATAATAATTTACTCCAATTTTTAAGACGTTTAAGAAAATATAATTCCATTTTTTTAATGGCCGTGGTTCTACTTGGAGAGTTCCTTTCAATATAATGAATATTCATTAGGAAGCTTTGGTTATCTTTCCCAAAAAGGTAATAAAATTTACTTTTTAGGTAAGATAATCACGTTTCAATAAGCAGCACATAACTCCATTTTGTTACACGGTTCAATTTTTAATCGGTTGATATCTTTGAAAAGTTGTTTTCGTTTATATTATTTCATATTTTAGAAGTTTATCGTTCTACATTGTATAATAATTATATAAATAAATAGAATCTAGTTATTTTTTTCCTATTAATTATTTACGAAAATAACAACTTGATACATAAATCATACATACATCATTTATGAATAATAAAGAGAAAACTGGAAATTACAGAGTAATATGCGCCAAATATTCAGATGGTGATTCGTCTAAATGGCCTGTTACTCACTTAAAACAAGCATTTGATAAGGACCATGTAAAATTTTTTTATGAATTGGACAAAAACAGTCTTTTATTTAACAGTTGGATGGAAAGACTAGGTCAAGAAGTAACTGAAATAACAAAATCAAAAGGTATGTAAAAATACATATCAATCGGTTATAATAAAATTTTTATTTGAAATGAGTTAATTTATAGAATCGATATTTCATATTTAGAAAAATTAGTATTGGAAGAACTGTTGGTGTTAGTATAATCATGATGATGAACTCCTGGTGGCAAAGGAACATGGAAAATAAAGAGATAGTAATTGAGTATTTGGAGCAGAAACTTGGCAGAACTTTTCACAAAAAACACCACTTAAAAAAGAGATGATTTTACTAATCTATATTGGGAGAGAATGTGATGAACACAAATCTCGATTTTCTCACTTTTGGTGGTTGCCAAAAAATTTTTGGTAGTACAAATGTTTACATTTTTGCGCCACACGGCCAAATTTTAAAATTTATTTTTTTTTTTGAAAATGAGAGAAGAAACCAAGGTTTTATTTTGCATACATTTTATGAATGTTCGGAAAGAAAGAAGATGTAATAAATCCATTAAATTTTCTTTTTTTTTTTAATAGGAGAAAATTGTCAAAATACTTGATATTACAAAAACTATTTTTCATTGGAGCTTTATTCCATTCATACTTTATCTTGGTAAATTAATCATTATTCTATATTAATATTATAATTAGTTTAATAATTAATCTAATAATTTAATAAAAATTAGGATTTACAAGAAGTAATCCAAGACCTTCTTTAATCAGGTAAATTGAATTTTTTTTTTTCATTAAAATAAATCAAAAAAAAATTTTTTATTTAATAAAATGGAAATTTTATTATTTTTTTTTAGAATGATTAGTCCTTTGGCATAATATTATTACAAAATAATAAATAATACCTTACAATTGCCATCATGTAACTAAACAATAACAACAATGATCTAAAAGATTCAATTTTCAATTGTATGAAAAACAAATATTAATAAATAAATAAATGAAATAGCAAAACCACTTACTTTCATATTAAATAGATATTAAAATATCAAAATCATTTACAAGTTTTTTTTTTAACAATGGTGATGGTAACATCTTTGTTTCTTTGTTTGTTGGTTATTTAGATATTAAACGCAAATAATGTATTTTTTACATGATTTAATCATAAATAAAAGAAATAAATTAGCTATAAATACAGGATAGAAAATTATAACCATTCACTTAATCTGTAATGAACAAATATAGGTGATAACCGCATCATTTTTATTATTAAACATTAGTGTTAATATTGTATTTGGAATTATAGTATTATTTTAATTAATATTATTGTGAAGGTGAGTGTTTAATTGATTCATGTTCTTCTTTCCTATGGTCTACTTCTTGTTGTAGAGCCACTCCAATCAGCAGATCTATACTAATAATTTTCATCACCATTCCACTAACCCAAACTTATATGCCCCTACTAATCTTCATATTTTGCAAGAAAGCCTCTTCACCAAAATAACAATATGAAATAAGTAGGAGACTACTGAGAGAACGGGAATTTAGAAAGCTGTGTATAAAAGCCAAACTGATAAATTATTGTTTATCATGTGTTTCAACAATTGCAGATTCAAGCTATCTAAAAAGAAGAGCAGATTAGAAAAGATAAAGGTAAAAAATGGAAGGTTTGCCAATAATTATTTTATTAAGCTCATAAGCTACATTCATATCTCAATTGTGGCATGCTGTAACAAAATCAGACAAAGCAAACATTCATACTATTAAGAATTTCAGGTATTAAAAATCATCATTCTCATGATATAACAATTTTACTATATACAGTGTGTTGTGAAAAAAATGGCGGTGATGAAAAATAGCATATCTTGACAAATTACAAAAGATAAATAATAAAAATTTGATATGAGTTACTATTGCCAATTTTTTGTAAATCTTTTTTTTTAGATTTCACTAAATTTTTTGACTTCTACCAAAAATTATTAGACACCCCAAAAGTATAATTAATCAGACCAATTTGCAACTTAAGCTCTATTCATATAAAATCTCATGCTTCTAGAACTTTATCAATTAAAAATGGGGCATGCTGCAACAGAACCAGTCAAAGTGAACATTGCATTACCAAGGATTTCAGGGATCAAAATTTAGTCATCTCAATTATAATATAAATTTTATATTTCATAAATAAAGTTAATATGTAAATATATAATTTTTTATTCAATTATTGTGTATGAGATAAACTTAGTTATTTGTTACATATGGTAATTTTCTTATGGACAATGGATTATACATTTTGCGCATTTCATTTCCCTATATATAAAATCAACGATTAATATTTTATCTTAATAATTGTATTTTATACTATTTATACCTCATGTTCTTCAGGTAATGATGGTGATGATTCCTATAAATATAAGTAAAAAAATTAAATGTCTACCATTATTAGTATTAATGTTTCAATTATACTTGCATTATTTTTGTGACATTTTTTTGGTAATGGATCAATATCATAGTTTATGGACTTTTTTTTTTCGGAGATTATATTTATGATATGTTGTTGGAAGGAGTTGTCAGTTGTTACAGCGGTTGTTACAGTGGTAATGATGGGAGTGGAAGATGAGGTATTTATCTGTATGTAATAGTTTTAAATAATCTAAAAATAGTTACCTGATTGGTATTAAAAATATAAATTTGATACAGTCAATTTGCCAAATAGATATCAACAATTTAATAGCAAATAACAGAGTTTTATTTTATCTATTTTTTTTCATCCATTATACATAATTAAATTAAGTTCCACTAAAAAAAGAATAATTCTAATTAGTTTTTTATTGTCAAAGAAATTAACCAAGTTGCTACTAAAAAAAACAGAATAATTTCTTTAATTAGAAAAAAAATCAACCAAGTTTCCACTAAAAAAGTTGGATATAAGTGAGGTAAAGTTTATATCAAAAACAATACAGGGAAATCAGTCACAGCTCCATCAGTGGGATTTAATCAAGGATGGGATGTAAATAATGGGGGATATAAATATTATTAATCCATCCCATGAATTTTTCCTAACAGATAGGCAAAACTCCTCATCACCAGTGTCTAAAATTTGTGCAGAATGCTTGTTCTGAGCATAATAATTTATTTGCACATGGTATAATTTTAAAGTAGGTAATGATTTTAATCCTTCCAAAATTATAAATCCTATATTTTTGGCTGAATTATTCGCAGGTTCTGCTAAGCATAATAATCGCATCGTCCCGTGATTTGTTTTCTGATTTTCTAAATTTGTATACGCCCAATTCATATCCTTTTTTTGGAGGATGTCAACCATCCCTCATTACATAGATAGTATCATGTGATGCGAGCAGTAGATTTACATGCGCAAAAAATCTTTTGGTGTATCCTATACCCCTGACGTGATTTATGTAGCATTTCCGATACTGTGATAAAACTAGTGTACATAACGAACGATGTAAATTGTATTGGCCTTCAAGGGAAGCGGAGCTAATAATGTAACAAAGCATGTTCTGCCTGCTAAACCGTTTAAAATTCCTTAGCCGGCAAATACAGTTAGACCTTCATAAATATTTCAGTAAACAAGTAGCAGTTCCGTTTAGCAATAATTTTTTATTATATGTATTGAAGTCTTCGATTAGAAAGACAAACATAGGCGGTTGAGAAGTTACGTGATGATTATATTATTTTGTAGCTTGTGATAATCTATTATATATGTGTAATAAAAATTGGTGATGGATGAGAAGATATTTGTGTTAAGGATACTATTTGTGTAATTTAGTTGATACTTTATGAAAATAAAATAATTTTTATGGAAATATTTTTCATACGAGATTGTAGGATCATGGGATCGTGTTTGTGATAATTAATTTAGTATGAGGGAGGGTAATAGATCCTCAAATTATATATTAATGATTTTTCTAGTTGTTTCTCTGCAAGGTCCATAACTCCAACAATTATGTCAAAGTCACTTTATGTGATTGGAATTCGATTCTTAGACTGTAGATGTTTGACGTAAAACAAAGCGAGTTTTGTCGGTGATTCATTATTTATCCACGCAAAAAAATTCAAATAGAAACAGGACGACATATCTAATCAATTCTCAAAAAATACTTGGAATGACTATATGTAGATTTTCATAATACCATATTTCAGTAAGAACAATCCAATCCTCATAGCAGAATTCTCAAGTGGTTGATCTTGTACTTCAATAATCACGTGACTGAAATTAAAAAAATACCTCCTTAATTTTTCCATATCATTATTATAAATATATCTTTTCTTAATGTCTTCAAATCAGGGTTCCTCTTCTTCTTCAAGTAAGCAAAATAATAATAATGATAATAAAGGCGAGAGTAGTAAACAAGAACAACAGTTGAAAACACAGAATGGATCGTCAATAACACAACTTGGTGCTTTAGAAGATGACGAATTTGAAGAATTCAATGCTGAAGGTAGTTGATAAATATCATTTATACAACATTCTTAACAATTTGTAAATTAAGTAACATATTTTTTATTTAATAGATTGGAATGAAACAGAAGAAGATCAAGAAACTCATTTATGGGAGGATAATTGGGATGATGAGGATATCGAAGATGATTTTTCCAAACAATTAAAGTTAATATTTGATTATATTAATTTTAAGATTATGTTTATTAAATTATTAATCTTTTGTTGTTTTTTTAAAGAGCTGAAATCACCAAAGCTACTATTATGCCACAGCCAATGAGACATTAATTAAGAACGAAATTATTTCAAGTAAAATGATTTATTAATTATAATAACAATAAACAACAATAAAAAAATTTTTTGAATAAAATAATAATAATTTGTTATTTATTTTCTTGCACTAGATTTGGATACAATGATAACTTAATTGTGCTATTTTAAAGAGAAAACAATAAATCAAAAAAAACTATTTTTACAATACTATCTATTTTTGAGGTTTGCATTTTATTTATTAATCAACTTATATCATGTGTTAAAAGTTATCAGCCTGGTTTTAAAGCTCGTAACAGTTATTGAATATTATTATGAAAAACAAATGTTACTTAATATGCAAAAATGAATTGTGATAATAAATTTTCTGTCTGTGATCTGCAGTGAGTACTTGTTTATTGTCATATAAAGATCCTGATAAAAAAAAGAAAGTTGGTAAACAGTTAAATAAAGTTTTTATCTAGTATATGAAATTAATCCAGAAGCGAATGGCAATGAAGTGTCTAGTTGAAGCTTTTGACTACAATAGATGTTAAATTATGTTAAATTTCAAAATGCTTTACATGATTTTCTTATCAAGTATTGGTCTATTCCTGCTTCTCATGGTTTGCTAACATCGTTGATAGAGAGAGATCTTAGGTTTAAGAATTACGTTTTGCAGAAGGAATAAAAACAATCCAATCTTTAAGAACTCAATATGAGTTGATGGTATCCTATTATAATGGTGATTTTTTTAAAAAAAACACCAAGTACAACTCCTATGTAGACAACCTACAATAAGGTGCCTCGGGTATTGTATGAGCTCCAATGTCGTGAGGCTCTTGTTGCAAATATTAGCGGAAATGATATGTGACCAGGTCAATATTCGCCTTGCAGTTTAATTTGGATGTTTCTAAAAACCACTATTTTGATCGTGTCTTGTGATTAACTCTGGGTGCAAAACCATATGGTGGTTTTTATATAGCCGTTTGCGAATTTTTGATGGATCCAGAGCATGTATCGACAGAACTTAATTTCAAGGGATACATGAGTAGAGCTCGTCAAGATAAATTTATGGCGAGATAACAGTCATATTTTTTTAATTCAGATATTTCACTTAATTTAATATCTTAGCAATATTTTGATTTATAATTTTCAATCATCGTTGTTTCTTCAATACCAGAAGAGGCATCAAGAACCCGTTTACTTTTTATTAACTGCTACTAAACAAAGTTTTTAAAAAGAAGCTACATACTCATTTTTAGAAAAAGACAAAAGCTGAAGATGAAAAAGGTTAATAACTCTTCCATATGCCATCCATCTGGTGAAAGGGGAAATATGGTTTAAACCATAAGTGTTGGTTTGGTTGAATCAACGGCCCAAAAGCTGGTCTTTTAAAGAGTCGTCTCGTTGCCTTGGGCACAGTCTTTTTTACACAGTTTATGAGTTCCCATCCCAGAAATTAAATCTTTTTTACATTTGAGGAAGAAATTAATTGTAAATCAATAATAATATGTTTCAGGAAGCGGACTATTTATATTAATGTGAATTAAATATAGATCAAAAAAATTCAAAAGTAATCTCCATCAAAGATCCATCATCCATCCAACAATCATTTTCACGCGGATTACAAGATAATCATTCTCTCTCTTCATTGTTATATACAAAATTTATAAATCGTAAGAACGTATTAAAATTTAAAGCTTTGTTAGAAAAAACATTTAATTCAAAAACATTACTGTGCCGTTTTATATATTAAGTATTTGTGGATTAATATCAAGATCACAAGAAGCATACTATCGATCAAAGGACAATGCATTTAATAGAGTATTTGCAAAGAACGGATGGTTTTGGACCACAGTAGTATATAGGCAATGAATAAAAATAAAAGACAAGGACAGAAACTAGTTTTTTCTATACTTCGTTATATTGCAGCAGGTATATAACAACGCAAAAAATTTCTTTGGACCAAGTATATTGATGATATATATTCACAATGAGTGGAGACAATTATAGATTTAGCTAGAACACAGAAAGTATGGAAAAACAATTAGCACTAATAGTTCATATCAATGTAAAAGTTGAGGAGAGAGAGAATCTGTCAGAAGAAATATGCGGATCATTCAATAAGAATTTAAAAGATTCTCTTTGGTTTTTTATCAATAAGTTATTTTTCACGGTAAAATATTAAAGAAAGTTCTACTGGAATATTATATTAATTTCTAACTTATTTTTTATTGCTACAAATTACAAAAGCTTTTTTAGCAATTGTGAAAGTGATAAGGAAGGAATTTAGAGAAGAGAAATATTTATTGTTGTACCTTATATCTAGTAATCAAAGTTGTAATTCTGTTTAAAGAAAGAATAAGTGTGCTAATTTATAATTATCACCATTACTTTTATCATTATCACTAGTTAGTCTTTTAAAAAAATTTTCCTGTAAAAAAAAATAGTTTTTATTCTAAAATTTATATTTATATAGTTTTAATATTATATATGGTTAAAATTGTTTAACTTTGATGATTATCTTGGATAAAATTTTCTGGTACTAAAGAAAGAAAATTAATTATTATTCTCTGAATTTTGTAATGAATCATAAAATATGTAAAATTACCATTAAAAAATTGTTGTTTCTGACCATAATCATCTGTTGATTCATCTTTATCTTTTGTAGTTGAAGATCTTTCAATTTTTGTTGTCTTCATCAATCAAAATAATATGTATATATATTAGTGCATAAAATATAATCTCAATAGTTCTATTATAATAATATATATATATTAAAACTAACTTCTCTATATTTTGCTAAATAAATCTTCAAAGCCTCTGCATAATTTTCGAAACCTAGAGATTGCATAGCCCACAAAATATCTTCTCCATTAATTGTCTTTCTTTTTTCTTGTTGACAACGATCACTTGCTGTTTAAAAAGAAATTTTCTAAATTAATGTAAGTCTAATATTCGTAGCTATGTGATTTATGTGTATATACGCACACATGAATATATAAATTTTCATTCCTGAAATATCTTTTTTGATAAATAAAAGGATATTCACTCGTTATGAAGGAAATGAATTCTGAAACACACTCTTGAACACATTCTTTGGCTTCTTTTGCAATCTTTGCATTGTCTGGTAAAGCTTTTTTCATTATACGTGCTACATTTGCTATTGGAAGAAAACGATCTTGTTCTTTAAAATC